ATATCAGAAGTTTGTCGCCATTCTCCATGAGAAACAATCAAGAAACTGATATGCTAATTTTCTAGAATATAATCTACTTATTATAACAAATAATATTAAATTAAAATACTGATGAAGTTGCACACGCAATTATTATACCTTTTTGCGTCCATGTCTTGTACACTCGTTTGTATTCGATTAAAAAAATATTGATTGACATTCATAATTCTTCCAAATTTATATCTCAATGCATAATTTTGATTATTATGAAAAATAATATTCATATGATAATATTTTATATGAAAATTCATTTGATGATTTAAAAGAAAAAGGATTCATAATTATTTTAATAAATTATTAACAAATAAACTTTATAATGCATTCAAGTATTAAAAAAACTGAAAATAAATAAGATATTTAATAATTAATATTAATTATTTTTTCCTTTTCCGATTTATATCAATATAAATAGCTGTTAAAAATGTTTAATTGAAATTTCTTTTTCTTATATTTGCTTTAAGATAAAAGCATATCTATTTTTAACGCATTTCTAATTATTCATTTAGAGTTATTTCGCTTCGAAAACGATAGAAGAAGATTTTCCTCTACAATTTTCAAACTTTTGATAAATTTTGCTGAAAATATACATAGACTTGCATCGAACAAACGGTGGGTTTTATAAAACGCGCTGCCCTGTATTTCCGTGTGGACTAGAATCGTTGGAAAATACACGTTGCATTATCACCAATGAAACCTGAAACAAAATTTAATCTAAATTTGCACACACAATTAAATAATTTCCAGATATTCATAAATGCATTGATACCTAACAATTTAAAAAAAGGCATGATTGATGATTAAAAACAATAATATGAAAAACTACATAATATTTTAAAATTAAAATTAAAATATTTGTAAAATAAAAATTACAAACTTTGAATTCTGTATAAATATCTTAATAATTCCAAATTTAATTTTTTAATTTACTTCATAACATAAAATATATTTACATTTGTTAACATTTTGCAATCATACATTCCCTTTGTCACATTTTAAAAATTAAAATATTTGAAAACAAAATATAGAATTTTCATTAATAACATTCTTCTTATATTTACATTATATCTTCTATAAAATGTATGATTCAAATGATCAGAGATTATTTATCTATGTAAATATTTCCATTTGTCACATTTCGCCTTCATCACAAATTGAAAATTAAAATATTTAACAAATGTATGTAATTTAAAAATTACACAAAATTTCTTTTCCAATATCTGAACTATATTCACTGCAAAAAAAGCATGGTAAACATCAAAGATACATTATCTAAATAATACTTCCATTTATCACACACAAGTTACACATAAATTAAATCTTCCCTCACCAGGTGAATCCATAGATTGATCATCTCACCTGCTACTGTTCAATCTCGGTTAAGTCGTCCTCGTATCCAACCTCCCTCACCTTGATGCTCGAGAAGGTGTTGAGGAACTCCAAGACCACCCCGTTAGTCCATCCGAACCCTGTCTGCACGTTGTATTCCCCTCCACCACCGCCTTGGCCGGGCACGATCGAATCGTACTGCAATTAAAACGCTAATTACACCAAGTAATCACGCGTTCTTGTTTCTCAAAGGATGGCTGCACATCCCCTTCCGGTAATTAAGTCATGCAGCTCCTCCTTTTAACTTTCGACTGAGAGCTGTCTTAAACTTTCGACAAATTTTAAGTTCTAAGAATGAAAGTGGACGAATTTTAAGATGAATTTTGAATTCTCTGCATTTCAATCACCGAAACTGGAAGAAAATAATCAAAGATATTGTGTATCATTTTGGTTGTTTAATGAGAGAAATTATTTTATTTCTTTTTCTAAATTTTAATCTTTCAAGTAGAAGGGTGATAAATTTGGATTAACTTTTTTTTTTTTTTTTGATTTTATTCGTTTAATTAGATAAGGTAAAAATTTTGATGCGATGCAGATATGATGAGTATATCGAGGAATTTTGAAGCATTTTTTTTATTGTAAATTTTAAATGTGAAGAATCGAAAATATGACATGCAAAAAATCTTGTAAAAAATACAAGAATATACAAGAAAGAATGATGATAAGTAAAATAATTTTCGACATCAATTATTAACAATGAGAAACGATAATTTTGAATTATATTATATTTGAAATAAAGCATTAAGAAAAATTCTGATCGAAATGTATCCAAAGATACATATAATAATAAAATTCTTATATAAATAATATTACGAGATATTAAAGTTTATTTATTAAAAATAACTTACCATCGTTAATTTTCTACATTAAATAATTTCTCTTGATTTTATATTTAATATTCAACACATACTTTATGAAATATCAATCGAATAAGTGTAAATCAGATTCATTAATTTAACAAAATTTTAAAATTTGACAGGTTCAGACGAGATTTGGGAAACAAAAAGTATCTGTCGATTTACGAGTGATATTAATTTATGCTCGTTACACGGCAAATATTTAACAAAACAGAAAGCAAAGAATCGAGATGAAAATTAATAAATCATGTTTTGAAAGGGAGAAAGAGGATTTTGGAATAAAGCTTTGAAACAAAGCTTCGCGATGAACAGAAACCTCGTTTCAGTTGTTCATTCGAAAGTTGTTAAAATATATTATTTAAAAATATGTCAACTCGATGCTATTTGCATTTTCTTTATTTTTATCCTGCTGTTTTAAGGGTAAATGAATGCATTTAATTAAAGAGTAGAGTCGTTTTCAGAACCAGGGCCAAGTTAAATTAAGATGCAAATCTACTTTCTTAAGAATTTTACGAGAAACACTTGATTATAATCGTTGAATGAATATGATAATTGTTTAAGAGCGTGTTAATTATTTCTTGTCTCATTAAGTTAAATTAGTTTCTAAGTAAACCCTCTTGTCTCTTGAAGAAAATTTCAAAATTCTTAAGTTAATAATGTTTAACAAACTTTCTTAATTTGATTTTCACCATTCAATTTAGGTTTGTTTCGAAGAGATCTGTCTGACTTTTAAATGCCCATATTTTCTTCTTCTTTGATTAAACTTTTTTAAATTTCTAAAAGTTTCTAAAAAATAATTTAAACTTGCTCTAAAGAAATCTGTATTCTATTTTACAATATATTTTCTAAACATCTTTTGACAAATTACTCGTTTGCTCTTTCCCAATCAATTTTCTCTTCGATCAAATTGGTAAAATTAATGGTATCATATCGTTTAATTAGATTGACGACCATTTATCCCTATATTCCTTAAATTTAATTAAGAATTATCGTCATTAATAGCACAGATGCAATTACGGAATAGCCTCTTAAATCTTCTTTACTGTTCCTTATGTATCTATAAGGAAGACCACATGAACGTGATTTCGACTCGAGGGAAAACTTTCTAATTAAGATCTAAGTTATTACATATTATCATGCTGTACGAAATTATTTTATCGGAATATTTCGTTTCAATTAGAAAATTTTTAATCCTATAATACTGATAATACTTTCAAACTATTATCTTTTTTCTTAGAAATCTTAATTAAATTAATTAATCCTTTGGCAATTTAAATTTTTGAATTTAATAAAAATTCCAATAATATTTTACTTTTACCAAACTTTTTAACTTTTTAATTTTTTTTAAAATGTCTCACATTATAATAATCTGTTTTACTTTTTCAACTTAATAAAATTTTCAATAAAAACTTTCTATAAACATTTAATAATATATAAAATAATAAATGATTATGATTTCTCTGTTTTATATTAAAAAAAAAGAAACTATTTTACAAATTATCAAAATTTAATCACAAACAAATAAAAATATCTACTCTTTCTTGAAAAATTCAATATTTTCACGTTAAATTTTAATTTCCTATAATAACATATATCCACATTATATATTATTATATATATATGTATCATTTGATTGAATGATAGTTATATCGATTGACACAAATCTCGATAAACGAAATATTCCTCATTTCTATTCTACAAAGAATATTCTACAACGACAAAGAATATACTGATTTTTTCTTTTAACGATTGCGATGAATATTTTTTTAATTATCGTTGATTTCAATCGACACGTTTTTCATTGTAAACCGTTTATATATCTCAATTTCTCGAATAATTATTTTCCTTCCTTCCATTTCGACCGTTCTGTTTCATAACGTCGTTTAACAATTATGTTAACATATCTGTAAAGCAGATAAATTTTCTTTTTTTTTTAAATTAACATTCGTTACGAATTTTGACTGATAATTTAATTTTGTTAATTCGTTTCAGTAATTTCCAGAGTGGAGATTCGCGATCGAAGGAATATATTCCACATCGGATGGTTTATACGTTAAGCGGAGAATTATCTATGGAATGCTGAAACGAGGTTCGGAATCAATATTGAATTCCTTTCAGCTCGATATTAATCTTTGGATCTGTTTACATCTATGTCCTTTAATAGGTATTATTAGAATAAATAAAATAGATATTGGAAAAACTTTGTAGGTAAAGATCTGAATTTTAATTTATTGAAAAATCATCAATAACTAAGTAATATTAAAAATTTTGTGAATAATGAAAATCTTTCTAATCGAATTCGTATTCTTTAAAAATTTGTGAATTGAAGAATTGAAAGTATCATTTCTTATGAGTAAATTATCACATTTTAAAGAAGATTTCAATAGAAAATGATAAAGATAATCTAAAATTAATCGTTTATATTCAAAAACATTTGATAATACTTGTAAAAATATTGTTATTAATACTTTGTACGAAATAGACTCCTATATTTCTAAAAAACTGACCATTAAACACCGAGAAAAAATATACTTTTTGTCAGTCACGATAAAATTAACAATAAAAAAAAAAAACGAAATATTTTTCAGAAATTTCATCAAAAACTGGCAATTAAAAGTCAGAAAAATATTTTTATAAAAAGAATAAAAGGAATACCAAAAATTGATACGAATGTTATTTACAACATCCACCATTATATTTCTTCATACCACCAACAGCGACAATTCTCAATTTGTTCGAACATGGAACATTTAAATCAATAAATTTACCCTTTGAGAGAAATTTCTGAAATATACTCTTCCAAGCTTAGTTTGTCTTGTCCAAGACAAGAAGGAAGGGAAAAAAAGAGAGAGAGAAGAAAAAAAAAGAAAATGCGTGGCAAAAAAAACATAAAGATATTTTTCATCAGTAAGCTGCCCGTTGCGAACAAGTTTCATAAATTTTCCTTCGCGTCACGGTATCGTGGTCGAAATGAGGTATGAGAGGAAGGTTCATGGTTCTCTATGATGTTTTCTTCCTTCGTTCGTCGAGCATCTTTCTTGTGCGATCGTGAAATATAAAAATGAACGACGAAGGGAAAAAAAAGAAGAGAGAAAAAGAAAAAAAAGGAGAGAGAAAAAAAGAAGGAGGGAAAGGATCGAATGGTTCTGACTATGTGAAAATTCATAGACAGTATGATGAAAAATGATGAGCAGTGATTCATTCTATCCATGTATTCGAACCCTTTGATGAGAAGGGAATATTTTAACGTATTTTAACATTTATTCATTTGTTCGGCAATATTTATGTGTGGAGAATTTTTAAATTCTAAAATAAATTTTTTACAGCAAATATCGTATACTTTGCATACTAGCTATTATAGTTTTTTTTATTTTTGCAATTATGATTAATGAAAAAATAAATCAATTTTGAAATAATTAAAACTTTTAAATCATTTTCAATATAATAAAAATTTATGCTATGTAATTTATAGAATGAAAAGACTATTAAGCTAAGTGTGAAATTTTTATCTTTGATACAAAAGATATTGGATTATTTTATTTTCATATCTTTATTTCAGATATTATATAAAAGAAAGTTTCAATTAAATTACTTTTAACAGAAGTATCTTTTTTAATATTTCGACCTTTTAAGAAACTTTCGTCTTATTGTTTGAAGTACTATCATCTTTTTCTTCCTTCTAACTTTTAAGAGACCAAGATTTAAAATTGAGACAAAATGATTCCAGAGTTAATAAAATTGATGAAATTGATATTCTGATAAAAAAAAAAAAGAAAAGAAAGATTTGTAAGAATATTAATTTTTTTCATTAAAAATTCCATTGGAAGTTCAGATAGTTAAAATATTGTCTATTTCATTTTCTTTTCTTTCTTGATTGCCAAGCTATTCAATAGTTTTTTTTTTTTCAAAAAATATATCAATTTTCATTGAAAATTTAACAATATAAAATATAAAATATTATCTATTTAACTTCTCTATTTCTCTTGATCAATTATTTATCACTATAATATTTTTAATAAAATCTTTCCAATAAATTTTAATTATCTTTATCATTTTTCGATATACCTTTTCAGCTTACCTTCTCAAACATTTGCCCGGTTTCCTTATAACCAGCGTAATTAGCAGAAAGCCATCTAAACGCCAGTTCATGGGCGAAATCCATTGCTTCCCTAGCCCCAGTCCAGTAGAGGCCCATTACGATAAACGATTGTAACGGTGGCCACGCGTTTGGAAAATCCCATTGTTCCCCCGTATGATTTAGCGATGTGGGTGTACCTCCTGCGGGGAAGAAATGAAAACGAATTCGATTAAACGAGTTTCCTTTTATCTTCATTACAACTCATTTTCTTACTATATGTAACTGGATGTAATTACTTTAATTAAATAGATCCTCCTCTTATATTCACTATAATCTCAAATATGAATTTTTAGTAATGAAATCAAAAAAAAAAAAAAAATAGATTTTTAAAATAGATAAATAAAAATTTTTATTCCCTGATTTTCCAAATAAAATTTCCTTATTTGGAAATAATACTTAAATAAAGAAATAGTATTTCAAATAAATCTTTTGGATTCACTGGATTTTGGACTCACTTATTTATTTTTTACAAATATATGCAAAACTTAATCCTATTATTACATTCTGCAAAAAAGAAATCTAGAAATTAAATACGTTGTTCTATTTTCTTCACGCGATAAAAATGTATCCAAACTTATATCATATTAAACTTCTCTCATTTTAAATCTACGAAATTGCAAAAAAAAAAAAAAAAAAGGAAGTAAATAAAGTTAAAATTGTTTTAAGTTTCACAGAATCTTCAATCTTAAATCTCTTAAAATTAAAACTGAACTTTGACCGACCGAATGCTGCAGAACTAGTTATGCGATTCCAATAAAACTTTATCACGAGAAAGTAGATATCATCTGCTTTAAAATCGTTTTTGTTTCAAGCCGATACGACTCACGGTTCCTGAGATAAAGTCGTTTAAAGCGAACCACAATTTCGTGTGTTTCGTTGTTTCCATCTTGCTTGCATTCTCGACGCATCCTCGAATCTCTCGCTTCTGTATACACGACATTGACCTATCACACTCGCGCCACTTGTGACTAGCGATGGAACTAAACAAATCATAAATAGATTCGAAAATTTAACAAACAAAATTCGAATCTTTTAAGAAATATCTCTTGGAAAAATAGAAACTTAGAAAAATAAATACTTTCAATTAAATTCTGAATCTAAATGTGACAAATTCGAATTCTCTACGAGTATTTTCAAAATTGAAAAAACTATTTCAAAATAGAATCGAATATAAGTCGAATAAATTCGATATGTATGTTACTAAAGATTTATTCATTTATTTAATTTTCTTTATTATCTTTGAAATTCGTAATTCTCATACAATTTAAGAAATAATTTACATGTGTTTCATAAAATAGTTAATTATTATCTTCTAGAAATGATTTTTTTGCATTGAATTTAATTTTGGATTTATAACTATACGCTGAACTTAATCCCATCGCTACCTGAATGGTCAGTGACAGACGAGTCACCATCCTTTTTCACCACCACCACAAACCTACATATGTATACTTTCAAGGAAAAAATGTGGGTCACGCCGGTATTCCGCGAATTAGGCTACCATTCAGCGTACTCTTTAAATGGCCAACGCTTTAAAGCTTTAAACCTTTGTATCTTGGTAACCAATTGAGATATGGACGTGAAACAAAAAGCGGTTTTAAGGCTGGCTTTTAGTTTTTTTTTTTTTCCTAGCTTTCGAAACGATTTTTGAGTAAAATTTTGTAATCCTTGAATGTGTTTCGAGGATGAAAGTTTCGAGATGGTATCAGATGTATGTTGGATAATGAATGCGTGATAGATTAACCGCGTGGAATGCTTAATCATGGTGGCTTTAGTTGTTTATGTGATATATGATGAGTGAGGTAAACGACAAATGAATTATTGATTTGATATGGAAGATATGGAGTACAATGTGAATAGAGAAAGAGAATTTTGTAATTTATCAGATGTATGTCCTTTGTTTAATATTATTATATTAATTTTATATCATATAATTTTTATGAACTTTTAAAAATGTGTTATTAATAAATATTCTAATATTCTATTATATTTATTATATTATTAAGGAATAATATAATTTTTGTTCGAAGAGGAAGATAAAAAATTAAATATCAATATTAATATTGAATATTGTATTCTATGAATGATAAATGTCGCCTTTTCTCGTAACCAAAGGTATAAAAAGATGTGGAATTTATTTCTTATCATTCCAATTCCATTCGATTTCATCCTTATAGAAATGACTTTTGACCACGAAAAGCCTTTTCAAAAGCATCTTTTGAATGTGAGAAATCAGAAGAAATTTATTATTTTTCACGTATATAAAATTAAAATAAGAGTTTGAAATTCAAAGTTAAGAAAAAAAAAAAGAATTATTACAAAACAAAAACTTACCAAAGAAGTTGTCGATATTCTGCGATTTGAGATATCTCAGAGTAGCTGCGCCATAATCACGTTGACCACGATTGTAACTTTTAGTGTAAAGTGGCGCAAGATTCGAAGGGTAGAACATATGCCTAGGCCTCTGGTTCTTCAGATCGTAATCCAGCCATATTCCATCCGCTTCGTTCCACAGAACATTGTCGATGGCCGTTTGAAGCTGTGATGCTATCTTTTGATAATACTGAGATTTCTAGAAAAATTATATTTATAGCAATTGATATCGTATGAAATATAAAAATTTCAATATCAAAAATATATTTTATTTTGCAATATTAATCAAGAGAATTTAATATGAGATAATATTAAAATGAGAAATTTACTATTAAATAAAAGTTTACTAATTTATTATTTAATAAAAGTTTTATAATAATCACTCTTATTTAACATTTCACTTTTCCTTATTCCAAACTTTATCCTTTATCTGCATATCTTAAAAGCTAATATAATTCATCAAATAAAACATATATCTAAAAATATATCCAAAATATTGAAAAACAAATACATGAATCAAGATACATGATAAATCACGTTACTCGTCCCCAAATGTGCAAGGCGATTAAATTTTTACATTAATCAATCAACAAAAGAATCAGTTTCAGCTCTACGAAACAAGTTAATCTTAAATGAATAATCGACATCCATTGATCAACCTTTAAATTCTACTGATATATATATACCGAAAGCCACTGTGTGTAGCACAATTTATCGGATGAATTTTAACGCGGTATGTTTGTCAACGAATGTTTCACAGCTTACCGCATTGTTCCCGAGCAGAGTGTGAAATTCGCCGAGGAGCCGGGCATTTTGTTGCAGAATCGCATTAAGGTCGACAGGTATTATGTATTGCGTGGAGATATTATATAAACTGAGCGTACTGCTATTGTTGTTTCGTATGAACCACCTGTTGGAAAAGTCCCAGCCACTTTCGGCGCCCGCCTTTATATTATTGTAAAAGAAATCTCGTGATTTTTCGGGCATCCGCTGCGCCATGAGATAATCCTCTCTGATATTATAAAAAGAGAAAAAAGAATTTATGTATGTATTAGTTATGGGATTGATATTGGATAAGGAGAGTATTGGAATATTTATATTTGTTAGGATAGGAAAGGATTGAAGAAATTGAATGATTGTAGAATTAAGGGATCATTGGAAATTCTGAAATTCCAAAATTTAAGGATTCAAAAATTGTGATTCTAAATTCAGGGATTCTAAAAAAATGTTAGAATTTTAAAGATCTCAGAATTGTAAGATCAAAAAATTGTAGCATTCTAAGATTGGGAAATTCATAAAGTATTTTGGAATAATTGGAGGGTTGAAAATTTTTTAAATTCTAAAGCTGAGAAATATAAGAATCCTAAAATTTAAGAATTTCAAAGATCTCTGGATCCTAAGAGCTCAAAATTCTTAGAATCCTTAGAATGTCTAACTTTGGTATTTATAAAGATTCTAAACTTGTTAAATATTCATATTAAAATTAACTATAAAGCTATCATGTATCTTCATTAATACATATCTAAAAGACAAACTAAATTTATCAAAGTTGATTAAGTAAGGAGAGCAGTTTGAAATTTCCTGTCTTCATGAAATCAATGCTAATCTAAACGAGATTACCGTTTTCACGTATACACGAAACACAAACAAATTTGACAAACTTCAAATGAATTCGAAATTTATACGAAAAGCCTAAATTTAATGACAGTTCATGGGATACATTAATATTTGCATTCGATTATACTTCAAGGAGATGTAAACCAGAGAACATTTAAATATTATCATTGCAAGACATAAATTTGTCGTTACAAATTGTTAGCTTGCTATGAATACGTGCCTGGAATACAATCTAGTTTATCATTGTGCAAATTCAAAAGTCAATTTATTATTATACTTCACTAAATATAAAAAGGAATAACAAATACAATATATTGATTTACAGAATATTATTTGTCATTCTTATGTAATTTTATAAATCCTTTTTATATTTAGAATAAAATAAGATTAATTGAACATTGAAAGAGTTGCAAGTTATTTGAATATTAGAAATATTATTAGAATATTAGAAAGGGATCACAATTTAAAAAACATTAAAAAACAATCTAATGTAATGTTAAAGGATTAAAAAAATTTTAAATTAAATTTCTTCAGTTTTAATGTTAATAAAAATTCGTATAAACATTTATAGTCTATTATATCAAATTTATTCATTATTACCTGTAACTTTCTGGTCGAGGACTGGTACTATTAACCACGTAGTGCGCCATTTTATATATTTTTCCATCCTTCTCAACGTCGATCATCTTCTCTCGTTGCCAGAAAGAAAATTCAGTTTCCAAAGTGGATATAATCGAACGTAAATAATCGTAATCCCGAGTGAACTCCAAATATCTTGAGACCTGTTAAACAGAAAATATTATTATTAGTAGAACACAATAAACTATTATATGTTTCTCATAAGATATACAATTCTTTTAGATTATATTCATAAATATGAAACAACAGTGATAAAAATTGACAAATGATATTATTTCATGTACACTGTTTTCTTGTTTCATTTGTTTATATAAATAATAATACTTTTATTTATTCGTTCAAGGATTAATGGAATTAATAGAATTAATTAATAAATATAAATAGGTCAAAGCTTCACTAAAAAGATTCAGTAGAATAATGATAAGTACATTTTTCCATTACAAAATATAAGAGCAAATGGATACATAACCATAATGTGTTATCTTCATTAATCCATTATCATTAAGCTACATTCTAGAGTTATTTATTTAATTATTTATTTTAATTTGAATATATATTTTAATATTTACGTGATATGAATCGATAAATATCCAGATATTTTCACAGAAAATTTAATGGTGCAAAATGTACACAATGTATACGTGTTGATGTGTATGATTATGTATATGATACAAAATATTCAAAATATAAATATCTCGATATCAACATTTTTACAAAATCATCTCTCAACCATCTCTCCTCGAATAATAAGAAAATTTATTCGATCATAAATTTTTGTTTCTCATCAATTCTTTGATCAAATAAACCTATCTCTAATATTCGATGGAAATATTTGATATTTACAAACGATATTCATATATATATTCAACAAACTTCCGTGATATTCTCTTGTTCAAAACTTGGCTATTTTCTGAAATAAACAAGCGCAGCAGCAATCCGACCATCCTTACCGAAAACACATTAGAGAGGGTTGGGGAGATATGGAGGGTAAGCGCACTCTTCTATCGGACTTTTCAAGTGCTGTATTACGGAACAAAAGTTTCGAAATGCGCATCGTGAACATATATATTCCTTGCCTCCCGATTTACATTTATGGAACAATATTTTCCATCTTAAAAAAAAAAAAGACCATCACTTGAACTTATTGAACTCGGCCCATTAATCCGTTAAGTGGAAGAGAAAACTTGATACATCTTTAAGTATGATAATCGATAAATACGTAGTACAGATTAATTTTCAATTGCTGAAGAATAATAAAATATTTGCTCGCAAAATAAATAATAATTTCACGTGAGAATTATATATGTGGTGGCATAAGTCACGTGGAAATTATTTTAAACAATTTACGTAGAAATAAATATTTAAGAAAAGTTTGGAAATATTTAAAAATATTTAAAAATTCGTATATTTATATATTCTTTATTATTGGATTTAATTTGTTTATTGCAATAATGTAAAATTATAACACAGTTCTACTTTATATGGACTTATGATTCTTAGTTTTGTAATTTTATTTATTTTATTCAATATTGGAGAAACGAGAAGAATATATGGAATTTTTGTGGAAAATTTCGGAAGAATATTTAAATCTCGATTGATTCGAAGAAAAGAAAATCAAAGTATAAAGAAAGTATGAAGAAGAATGGATTTTTTGAAATATTATTTGAAGAATGGCTCGAGATTGCTCTTTGCTTTGTCAAAGAACTGGCTAAAAGTACTATGAGAATCTTTCCACCAACGTGCTGGTGGAAATATATTTTCTTCTCGTGAAGGCAAAGAGTTTGCACGGCTACGATTTTCGTATTTTTCCTTGGTTTTTCAGATTTATTCGAGCCAGTGCACCTGCAGTGATTCTAAATTCCTTGACTTATACACTTCAACTTACCAACCTTATTTCCTTTTTCTTTCTCCTTCATTTTAATAAAAAATTTTTCGTTCATTTAACGGAAATTCTAAAACCTATTCAACTTATTCATTTCTTCATAAATACAAATCAATTCTCTACTAAATATTATTCCAATATGAAATCTTTTCTTAAATTATTAGAATGTAAAGATAACTTTTTGTTTTGACTAAAATTCAGAAAATATTTAAAAAATCAGAATACTTTATAACTCAGAACACATTTTGAAAATCTTTTTTTTTTATAAAATTACTCAACATTCTATGTATCATACTTTCATAATTCTTTTTTACTTTATCATTTCCTTGCTATTCATCTCTTACAATCATTATTAAAAATGATTTTTACTTTCTTCAAATTATTCCAACATTTCAATCTAATTAAAAACACCTTCATTAAAATAATTCAACCCATAATTCAAATCACCTCAAGAATTCCATAAATTTCATTTCCAATTCTCTCCTATATCCGCAAAGAGATTAATTATACGAATATCATCTTGAATGAATCTTCTCTAACAAAAAAAAAAAAAAAAAAGAAGAAGAAAAAGAAAAGAAAAAAAAAAAAAAAGAAGAAGAAAAAGAAAAGAAAAAAAAAAAAAAAAAAAAAGAAGAAGAAAAAGAAAAGAAAAAATAAAAGAAAAAAGCATCGATTCCATTATGACAAAATTGTTTCAGCTTTTCGTCGAATTTTCTTGCCAAAACCAACCGCGTTTCAACCACGTCCACGACAGTTCATATCGATTTCGGTCTTAAATTGCGAACTATTTTCCGACTATTGAATTTCCCCAACTCCAATTGCGTGGAAATCTTTCCAGCCGGACCCATCGCCTTTCTCTGAGAAAGGAAAATGCGAAAACTTTTGTTGACTCGTTGAAAGCTCGAGGAGAAGTTAAAATTCCTTGCTCCACCGCTCCATTGTCTTTACCAACGAGGAGAATTCGAATTGGATATCGTGGAAATTTAGGTGGACAAGCAATTATCCAGCTGTCGAGTCGACTTGGAACTCGATGGAATGTATATATCGATGGAGAATGGAGAATGGAGAATGGAGAGATAGGGCAATATAATTGTAATTGCTATTAACACGATTATTATTGAAGAGATTCGAATTGGATAGTGGGATCTATCTCGTAATTCTTATTTATTGATAATTAATAAAATTTAGAAATTAATGTGAAATTAATAATTGGTAATTAAAAGTATCAGTGGTGACATTTAATTTAGCATTGCTGCTAAATTTCTTGAAGATTGTATGATTGTTCGATTAATGGGTACAAGAGATTATTATGAATTGTCTACAATGTATATAATTATTTGGTGAAAGATTGAAATGGAATTATTTATATAGTAATCTTCTCCAGAGAATGGTTAGTAATTACAGTTTCATAAGTAAAAGTAATAGAAGATTTTCAGAGAGAGTTGTAAACAAGGGAAACAAATTTTCCAGAAGAATAAGCTCTATGGATAGCTTGAACGTTTTCAACAAGTTCAATTAAATTTTATGTGTTTCCTTTCCGTCTAGTAATTACGTGAGAAATTAATTTTCTTGAATTGATTATTCGTTTTTTTTTATGTTTCTTTAAAATGGACAATTTGAATAAAGAAATTAATATATTCTATACTATGTAATTACTATATATACAAGAAAGTTCTTTAATTATTTTTATCTTTCAATGAAATAATTTGATAGATACTATAACTATCAATTTGTAATATAATATACAATTATGTTTCTGTCTGAATAAAAATAAGTATCAATTTTGCCAACAATTATGCATAATCAATTTGACTTATTTGATTTGTTACTTATAATATCGAAACGTTTAATAATTAATTAATATTTATAATTTAAATAATATTTAAATTTGCCTAAATAACATATTTTAATAATGTGAAAATACTCTTTTGCATCTATCGTAGAAAGGAAGATAAACGAGTTTAAAGACAATATAAGAAAAAATAACGTACCATGAGATGTAATAGAGGTGGCTGGCTCCTCATAAGATAATAAATTCTGCCACCATTGGGTATGAAACCATATTTCTTCACCATGTATAAGAAATTGTCTATCATCCCTCTGGCAGTTTGATACATGTCGGATAACAGCAGACCTTCAATCACCCAGTAACTGTCCCAGTAATAAAATTCTGTATAAAAAAAAAATATATATAATTATTAAATATTCTTTAATGTTATAAGTATCAAGTATGCCGAATAAAATTTTGAACAAAATTTAATAACTAGATCAATCCACACATTGAACATAGTCAACATGTTTTTGTCAAGCTATATTTCTATGTTTCTCATTTTAGATATATCTTCACAAATTTTTATTGAAAAATTTATTAATTCCAATTGTTTATAAAACAAAGAATATTTCGAAATTATTTAGAGAAACAATTCTTTTCTCAATATTCATAAGATAAGAATTATTCTCGAAACACATAAATACATCAAACATTCTAAAAAATTTAAAAAATAATTTCCTTTCTAATAATATCTACAATCTACAATTTATTCATATTTGTTGTAAAATTTACTAGTAAAAATAATTTCTATCAATAAAAATTGAAATACCACACTAGACATTCTAAAATTTAAACTTAGATTTAGATTCATATTTTCAATAATATATCAAACTTTATAAAATTTACTAAATTAAATTCTATAAACATCAAAATATAAAATTAATTTACCTTTAAACCGACCACCAGGAATGATGAATCCATTGTTCACGTATATCAAACTATGCCTCTCAGGATACTCGGCCACCTCTGGATTGATCTTCCTCGCCAATTCCTTCCAAATTTCGTTCAGATGTTTCGCCCATTCGCGATACTTGGCCTCGTTGATTCGTTTCAAGATCGAAGGGCTCTCCGTCCAATCTGGCAGCGTCCAGTTCACGAGCTCGTTCGACGAGGCGAAATTTTCATTAACATATCTCACCAGCTGACTTTTACTCGGTTTGTTCCCCGTTTCATTCATCAAACTGTAGAAGCTGGATACAATCAATCATCCGGTTAATCAATCACCCATCACGAAACGTTGTAATGATTAGCGGTCAGTCGAATGGAGCCGCATTCATTAACGAGATAAATAAGATGTGAGAGTGTACTACGTGAATGATGAATGATAGTAAAAAAAAAAAAATATTACAAAATGAAAAAATAAAGAAATATTTTATATTTATTTATTTCGTGTGATTCGAAATAAGATCAAGAATTATATTTTAAAAGTTCAGTATTTAATTTAAATTGTAAATTGTATTAAAAAGGAAAATTAAAAATGTATGGAGAATGTAAAATTTATATAGGAATAATGGCTTGTTAATTTATTAATAAATGTTTCTTCAAAAAGTCTCAAGATTCAAGTGACTTTTATATTTTTGATTTCTATTTTATTTCGAGTCATGGAATGGAATTTCTGAATACATTGTTGAAGAAAATCAAAATATAAGAAAGAAATAATAAATTATATGATTCGATGCAGATATCATTAAACAATTATACATAATCTATCAATATGCCATCTTCAACGCATAAAAGATCAATTCCTCTGCCCATTAACGCTAAACTTGAACGAGCTTTACACTCTACTCGAATTCGCTTTGCAATCCCTATAAAACGAGAGGAAATTCACCCTATTTTGTTCGAGCCAGTTAACTACCCTTTCTCGTACCCCTCTGTACGTAACAATCGCCGAAACAATGCTCGCTTTGTACCACTAGTGAAAATCGAACAGGTCCTCACGAAAAAAGCGAAACAATTTAAAAAAAAAAAAAAAGTTCTGTGATCATAGATGTAGTTAAAGTGAATAAATGGCTTTTTCTCTTTTATTTATTTTTTTTTCTTTTTAATTCACGGTATTCTGTACAATATTCTGTAAATACGTGTGTGTCAAAATTTTTTAATCTTATCATTTTCAATTTTATAATGTAAAACATAAATTTCGAATTATGATATTTTTTTTAAATTCGATTCTCGAAGATAAAAATCAAGATACGCTAAATGGATTCTAAGATATTACAGGAAATCACATTTTATTCTATTGATTGTTAATTTATCAAAAATATATATATATTTTTTTATTAAAAGATTTGATAAGATATATTTTACAAAATTTATATAAAAAAGAAAATTGACACACACGTTAGAAAAAAATCAATCACTTACTTGGAAAGAGTTATTTCGGGGTCGTTTATCTGATGAAGATCGACGAACGTCTTGCTGTCTGGGAAGATTTCAGCCAGCTGTATCGTCTTCAGCAGTTCCCCCGTGCAATAGATCTCGCTGAAAGAATAAAACAATTAAAGTTAGTTAATTATTGAAAATTGAAAAATCGAACTTATTTATCCCGGAAGAGGGGGAGGATGGAAAGCTCGAATATTTCAGATGGAAGTTTTTATTTTTCATAAGAATTACAGATAGAAATGTCATCATCCTGGATGGTGGATACGAATCAATAATCCGTGCACGGTCATTTCCTGAGCCGATTATCCTTTGATCCGATTCGTATATGAAAGCTCGTTTGACGAGGAATAAATAGAATAAAAGTCTATTATAAAATCTTTAACCACTTTGCTCTCCATTGTATCCGAGTATTGTTATGGTTAATTATTCTTTTTAATGTAATTAATGTATTGTTTGTACGACGTATCATGTATGCAAGATTCGAATGGAGAGAAAATTGTAGAATTTGTATAATGGTAAACTGTGATGTACAAAGGAAAACATAAAATATCGAGTAAACATTACGATATTTGAAAAATAAAGTGAAAAATCTTTATTCGAGTCAAATCATTCTTCAAATAGTGTATACAAATTTATTCTTTTCTTAAATAATATGCAAGTTACAAATTGCGTTTCTAAAAATTAAAAATATTAAAAGAATTTTGTGTAATAATTGTGGCATATGAGATATTATTTGAAATTAATCTATGAAATGTGATCTTTTATATTTTTTCTTCAAATATTAAATTATTATTCTATAAAACTTTTACCTGAATTCAAAGTTTGAAATATCAAATAACTAATACGTAAATACAATTTGAATATTATTTTATCAATTATCTTATAATGTAGCAAATTGTGTATTATAATTAATTATAAATTTTCAATATTAAATTCGATTAAGATTCGTATCGACAACTTAATAAAAATGCAAAGAATTTTGTCTGAAACATTAAATAATTATTTAAGATTAAAATATTTAAAATCTAACTTAATCTAAGAATAAAAACTAGAAAAAATTATTCAAAAATAAATACAATGGAAAGATAGAAAGAATTTTTTAAAAATAGAATACACAGTAGAAAAAAAAATGAAATGGAAGAATGACAAAATTAAAAGTCGAACGAAAATTATTAACTCGCATCACGTATCTCACGAGATCCTCTCTACATCGATTTCTATTCCGATAAAGATTACCCGACAATCGCCATCAACGTCCATTTCTACACATATATTTCACCACGAGTAGTCGTCACGACGATAAAGATAGCCGAACACAAATCCACGAAAAAATGACATCACGATAAGGGGCAAATTTAACGCCGATGCGGATTTGGCACAAAGCTGACAGCAGTTAAGTAAACCGAGCCGAAACAGCGCCTACTGTTCCACGTGTCCGCCAAACGAAAAGGAATTACCGTGGTGCCAAAATCGATCGAGTGAAAAACAGCTGCCAGTGTTCTTGATCCCTGAACCGAAATTTGTACTCTCGTCATTGTTACTCTTTTCTTGCCAATTGTATCGTTTGAAAATATCTGTGATTACTTGTGATTGAAAGGAAATAAAAATAAAAAGTTACCTAGATATTTTAAAATTAGTTTCTAAGAAAATCAGATAATCATATTTTAGAGAAAATTTTAGGGAAAAGAATATTTTGATAATAAATGCGTAATTGTAAGAGGAAAATAGAAATATTTTTTTTTCTTATATTAATCTTTAGTTTAACTAAAAATCAGGTCAGAAATCTTTTTATCTCGTGCTTTCTTGTCGTGTGCACTGTTTAGAGAATAAAATTCTCAAGAATTGTGTATATGAAAAACATCGTTATCTGTTTGAACAGAATCATTGAATCACATAAGACTAAACGTAGGTTTTATTAATTTTCAATGAGTAAAGATCTGTGTTGTTATTCTATAAATATTCCTCAAGAATTAAATTTAAAAATGAAGCATATGTATAGAAATTAATGCAATTATGACTACTATGTAAAATATAAAATTAAATGAATGTAATAGACTTTGAAATAAATAAATAAATTTTTAATAATGACATTTATAAAAATAAATTTAATATAATATATAACATAAAATATAATACATTAAAATTTAGATAGAATATAATAAAATGTTTAAATATTTGTTAAGATGATAATTTACAAAACAAGAGTTAAACAATTAAATTTAAATTTCCTTCATAAGACCAATATTATTTTAAATAAATAAAAAACAAAAGAGAGATTCTTTTTATTTTAGAAATCTCAAAAAAATGAGTTCCTTGACGTTATCGTTTCTCGTTAGAGAAAAAAAATAAAGGAGGACCAAGTATCTTCCATCTCTTTCTTATTACTTTTTTTTTTTTCGTTTCCTCTAGTCTTCTATGCATTCTTACCCTCCATCCTCAACAGGAGGTAAGGATGATATCGTAACTATGATCATCGCACCCTAGATTTCATACTTACCATTGTGAATAAAAACAGAAAAAAAAAAAAAATGGAAAAGAAAAAAAAGAATAAAAAATCGTTATCCTTCCGCAATTGTCGACCTTTGTCGTTCTGTCATTCATTCTCTCTTCCTCCTGAACATATATATATCAATGTTTTATCTTGGTTTTTAGATAGGTATTTAAAGAAAAGTTTTGATTGATGGAATCTCAATTCAATGGCTTTCAAAAATTTTATAGATGGCCTACAATTTTGTTCACACTTTGATAGTTATGCTTGCACATTGAAATAAATGTGACATAAATGCATAAAATGAAAGAAATTTGTTAGAACAGAAGATTTTCTCGTAGAATCAATTTTTTTTTGACTATTAGAATTGGATAAAAGAATTATTTTTATTGTTAATTAAAAACTTGAAGAATTTAAATGCCTTTCTTAGAGACATTCTCTTCTTTATTATAACATATTTGAGTCTTTAAAAACTCAAATTCATTAAAAAATAAATAAATAAATAAATTGAGAAAAAATAATTAAATAACACTAATCTATCGAAAACAATTTAAATTTTCTTATTGCACAATTACTTGGAAAATTTTTAATACCAATAATATCAATGAAATGACAAAATTATTTGAACAGGATCAAACCCTTCGAGAAATAAATTCTAAGAAAAAATATTATGGAATGTAGAAATCATAGAATCGAGGGAAAAAAATATAGGAATATGGAGGACACTCGAAGAAAGTCGACGATCAAATAAATCACGAACTGTCCTCCATTTCGAGGTGGTTGCCTCTCCATAGAGGGAACCACTTCTTCAATCGTTTTTATCGAAGGGATATTTCGAGTAAAGCAAATCGTTTCACTCGGGCCATGAATTTTTTTTACAGGCTACCTGCTTCTTTTGCCATCGTTTTATCGTTCGATTGATGTTACCTTCGTCAAACTTGCACGAGAACATGTCCAAGTAAAAGAAGTATACAGAGGATCGAAATACTACTATAAAAATTCTTATACATCTTTCACGACGTCGAAATGTATATTTCTATACATGGAATAAAAATTTATGAAGTAGATTTAGTAAATTTAGAACACGGATATCAATATTTTATTTCAGTTCTTTCCAAATATCGAAAATAAATTATAAGATGGATATTATCACTCGAGAGACTTTTATAGTTTCTTATTATTAATTTCTCCAAATTTTTCATCCCCTGTTTTAAGGGTTGATATTATTATTTAAATGCTTTTTGTATTTTTCGATGCAGCTATTTAATTTTTTTGAGCAAAACTTCATTAATCCATTAACTCTCTCAATTAAATCTTCTGATATTTCTTTTCTCAAAAAAGTCTAATGTTCAATCGAGCCCATTTCTTTTTAATTTACAATTAAATTTTTATATTTCACATTCACTTTTGTCTATGTACAATCTACAACAAAGTGATCACATAACGCGAAAATCAAAAACATCAAATGTAAAATCATCATTACAAAGTCTCACCACTGTATTATTATTCCTCTTCCTTTTTTTTTTCTATTTTCCTCGCTGAATAATATTTCCAAAGCTCCCCCAACTTGATTAAGGCCATTTCGTGGAATCGACATTACGATACTCGAAGATGGAAAGGGACCCCCTTCTTTTGAAAAAGATTTCTCAGGGGTTCGTTCAATCGGCCTAATCAACACTCCTCCTTCTTTCACGTTATTTTATCTAGATCTGAGGGATGTAATTCGGGATAAATTACATCCCCCCTCGAATGAGAGTCTTTGGAAACGAAGTACGAAATCACACGAAATGACACATGGAAATAAATTAACTAAGATTAGGAGATCCAATGATGAAATATAGTATTTTTTGGGCCATAGAAAAAAACAAATTATCAAAGAAGATTGGTAATTTATCATTGGTAATTGATGTACATTATTATTAAATGAAAAGAAAGATTTTCATAATTTTTTAATTCATATTTTAAGGAATCGATTGGAGACGAGTTCTTTTCTCGTCCTGACTTCGTGAATTTTTATTTACTCGAAATTATTTATAAATTTATTATATATTTCAAATTAACAATCGATATTCATAAAACATCCTTATGAAACAACGACTCGAGAGAAGAAGAATCAACTACAATATGCAAATATGCAGATTTCTCAACGAGCACGAGTTTGATTCCTCTTGAACTGATTTCATTCAGTCTCAAGCGAATTAAGGGTTCACGGTTGCTCTCTCACAATCAGTTAATTCTGTTTTCCCTTGTAACTCGAGTTGCACAGGATTCACCATATACTCGCGAATAAATCATTGTATCTGAGAGATTTCATAGAGAATTTCTCTCTTTCTAAGAGAGTTCACTTTTAATGGAACGGGTAGTGCACCACTGTAATTGGTCTAACTTTGAAAATGTAAATTTTCCATTGTAAACTGGTTAATTAGCTTCACCAAAAGGTGACGATAAGCCAGAAAGAAAGAGAGACAGAGAGAGAGAGAGATTCACGTGTACGTATATACTTGGAGATAATTCCAAAGTTTGCTCGATCCATAATGATAAGTAGCTATGATGAAAGAGGATTACACATGTGTAATCAGTATAATTTCATTATCAGGTTATCGTATATCGA